AACCTCTGCCCTCCTGAATGCTAGATCGCGTGCTTAGCCGTTAAGCCACGTCAGACCACGGAGGAAGTGACTTCAATATTTCCTTACACCAATTAATCACTCATAATACTAATGAGTAATAGGACTTACACACTTCTGAGGTGCAAGCCAATTCGTTACTTGAATGAATTGACGATATATTGCTTCAATATATCATGCCTACCTAAATCAAACCAGAAAAGGGTATTTGACACAACTGTACTTGATCCGCATACTCTACACAATTTTTTTTGCTTCTTAACCGTATATTCTTTTCTGTTTTGTGGAGTATTCTGATGAACCCTTGGGGCAAGGTAAAAACGGTAATCCCTTTCAAATCTGTCCGCCGTTTCGTTTCAACGACCTTGAACGCGCTGACTGGAAGCGGGCATTCCGTATTTCAATTGCCGTGTGTGTGTTGGGTCCTATGAGTATTAAATGTTTCCATATATAAGTCATCTTTTGATGCATAATAAACACTAAATAACTGCTAAGAGCATTAACTGAGTATTTTCTGTTTTGTAGTGCACACTTTAGCTCTGTTGTTCCTTCGAAACTTGATCTGTGGTCCTAAGTGCTGTAGTGAAAGTCAACAGCTATATATAATTTGTTGATAAGGTCCAGAAAACAACGTAAGAAAGATAAAATAACGTAAAAGGTTATAGATGCGCATAGTTTTTGTGAGTTAAGACGAAATGTCAACTGAAGGGTAAGTCCTAAATATTTGTTGTTCTTCCTTCAGTTAATTTTTTTCAAGGAATAACCTTTTTTTAATAGCTATTGTATGTTGTCTCTAGTGCTTCATGCTCAAGTGAAATTTCAGTGAACGTAAGCGACGCGTTCCAACGTATTATGCTGAATAAGAGATTCGGAAGCTGGATTGAATTAGATAATGCGCTAAAGGATTTCCATAAAGTATGATGGGATAAATCTATGTTTTCTCAGATGACCCATACACACTATGTTCACGCAGAAAGTAGATTGTTGAAGGATGTGAGATATAAATACTTGTTCGTAGTGTTTCGTTGCACGTTTGGTCGTAAACGTAAATCAGAAGGTCTGAATGTGAATAAAAAACCGTGAGGACTCTAACTAATGTGTTACCTTTAAGGTCTAAATTTTTAAATTGCCAATCGATGTTTCGCGTAAGATTGGAGGGTCAACAATACGTTATAAAATCTTACAACATGACTCACAACCATCCGTGTACTAGTTCGTGGATGGTTTGTGATCCGTTGAGTAGACGATTGTCATCAGAAGAAAAAGAAAACTTGAAACCAGTTATATTGCACTGTCAGTCGACGGACGAAGTTATCGAAAGTATTAAGGAAAGAACAGGTAAGCAGGTGACCTCTGCTGATGTCAAAAATATGAAAGCTGAACTCTCCACTGGTAAGTGTATATAAATATATTTCAGGTTAGACTCGGAAGCAGGTATTGCAGATGATGCGACAAAACGGTGAAGTTAGAGAGCATGCAGAAAATGGATCTATTACGGCGATATGCTTCAGCAGTCATGATCAGATACGGCTGTACAATCAATATCCCGAAGTCGTGTGTATTGATTCTACTTATAAAACTAATAATAAAAAGTGAATATGATTTTCGTTTTGTTCTACTATGTAGGTATTCATTATTCCAGTTAGTGGTAACAGACAATTGGGGTCGAGGTCGAACTGTTATGTTTGCATGGACAAAAAAAGAAAAGCGTGCTGATGTTACGTGGATTTTGGATAAATTCAAGGAGATAATGGGTAACACGACCAAAACAGAAACATTTGTGATGGATTGCGCACGATCTGAAAGCGCGGCTGTCCGTATAACACACGGGCATGCAAACATTATTTTGTGCGCCTTTCATGTGATTCGCGCTTTCCGAAAAAAGGTACACCAATGGTTGGTTACATAAAATTTCTTTTAGACAAATGACTGGTAACCGCAGAAACGGTCGGAAGGTAATTTTTTAATGTATTTATTCACTAGATTTAATCAATATTACAGAATAATAAACCGCAGAGACAGGGTGATAGGCCAGTACCTATCACGTTTCTGGATGCCACGTAAAACAATGTGGGCGCGTGCCTTTTACGGCAGTGTATTAACTTTGAGTAACAACACGAATAATCGTGTTGAGTCATTAAATAGGCAGATAAAAAGATATGTACGCAAAAGCGACAGCTTGCACAAATGCATGTACAAAGCTTTTAAGTGGAGTTCAATGACATTCTCTAGAAAAAGCATTGAACACCAAATAATCAGTGGACGAACATACAATTATGATGCTCCACAGCGTCTTATACCCTTGCTGAACATGCTGACCCCATTCGCAAGATCCAAAGTGTTATACGAACTTAAAAAAATGCGTTTCGTTAACTTAGAATATGAAAGCGGCGAGTGGTTGTTTATGCTTGACCGCGGACAACATTACGAAGTAGATGTAAGTATTTGTGAATGCAATTGTAGCACGTTTAATATGTGTCGATATCCGTGCCGCCATCTCCTGCTGGCATATATTAAAAGACGAAGTCTAACAGGTAAGCTATTTAAATTATAAAATATAAACTGCATAGCTCATCAACTTCTTAGGTGTTGCTGCAGATGGAAATTAGACAATACGCACAATTTACAAAACAACACAGGAATTTCATTACGGAGACGGAGTAAAGAATATATACAACTTCAACGGCTCCAAAGAATGTGCAAACAACAAATTGTTGAGAAATATAGTGAACGCTTCGCGAATCAGGTGGAGAGAAAGGTCTGCAATTTTTACTTAAGAATTATAAACAGCTAGACAGCAGGTTTACGATTAACAGTTCTTTGTGGCTTTATTTTATACCACTATTTATACAACTTGTAAACTTATCTTTCCACTTTAGTAGTCATGAAAAATCAATAAACTTTTTCTCATTTTTTATTTTCGTCTTCTTCATACTTTCATGGGGAGGTTTACCAATCGCTTTAACGAATAATTGTGTGTGAAAATTAAGAATTTGTACTACTGTATTAGTTACGAACTGTCGTTAGAACTTAGCGTTATATCGTTGTTCATTGTAAGGAATCAACGAGTCAAATAAAACAATGCGACTTCCACGTAAAACCTTACAGATTAAACAACCGCCTTACATATTTTCCGTTGTCAGATTACGTCCATTATCAAGTTAGTATTAGTATGGAACTAGACAATTTCATGCAGCTAGTTCCTTGATAAGATGGATTACGTAATCCTTAGACCATCTTTCCACTCACACTTCTTTGCTAAATTATGTTAACTCTTCAGATTGTCTTCACTTATCTTATTAGTTCTTAATTCACTGATTTATTCATTACATCTAGAATTACCACACAATTTATCTTATATGCTTCTGAGCTTCACTCGACTATTACACCACCCATCCTTTATGTTCCCTTAAGTCTAACACCAAATGACCTTTGACCTGTTCAAGCATATACATATGTATAGTTATTATTGATAACCTAGGTCATTCCAATTCTTTGCTTTCTATTATCTTTCATACTATTTCTTCCCTCAATCTTAAATTATAATGCATATTCAGTTGTATGCAACTTATGAGAAATTACGAAATGTAATGCAGTCACATGATTCTGCGTCAATATTTGTTTTGGCTTTATTTAGACCATAATTATACAAACTTACAGGATTTATAATATAAAACACTGCGTATGGTTGTTATATTTATATTTAAATAATTCATTAGATGAATGAGCATAGCAGTAGGCAATATAAAACAGTTATCGTAAACTTGTAAACCGGTTTTCCACACGATCTTCTGTAATCCTAAATTCCATAAGCTTCATACTATTCTGAAAAACAACAAACCCGTTTTGAGATAAACAATTAAACTTTGTTCTCAGTATCATATTCAATAAGTTATTCAAATAGCAAGTAACAGACTGTGCCTATAAGTCTTTTATTAACAAGTAGTGACATTCATTCATAACTTCCTAAGTAACACAACAACTGTATTACCGAAACGGATGGATATAACTTTTTATGGCTAAATACAAACAAGTTATATAATATTCACAATTAGATTAACGCTTGATTGCTTCTACTTACATTTTATAAACAACTACCGACATCCATGTTCACCGTCACCGCAATCAAGGAGGTGAACCATATGTAAAAGTTTTTACGGTTCATTTTCATGAAAACTCAATCTGTGATGTATTTTTTGACTAGAAACACGGTGAACTTTACTTGCTTGAGTTTGTATTGTTACAAATAACTATATTAAGCTAACTTCAGATTTACTTACGTGGTGAGCATGAAATACGTCAAACTGCCAATAAATTGGAATAAAAACTATGTTACAAGCACTAGCAATACAGAAATTGATGTGTCATGCAAAAAAGCCTGTTAATAACTGATAAATAACGACACAAAAAATCCACGACAATATGTAACGTGTGCGCGAAAATCCGTGGCTTACCCGCCAGTCCGTGCCGGTTTAAACGTTAGGTCCTTTTGAAATGTACCCGCCCTTTTGTTTCAACGACCTTGAACGGCTTGACTAGAGGCGGTCATTCCGTATTTCAATTGCTGTAGGTTGGTTGGATTGCATGAGTATCAAGTTTTTTCATATATAAGTCATCTTATGCTACATAAAAAAGCACGAAATAAATATCAAAACCATTAATTTAGCGTTCTCTGTTTTGTAGTGTACACTTTGGCTCCGTTGTTGCTTTGTAATTTGACCTGTGATCCCAACAACTGTAGTAAAGCTCAACGAAATGTCAAGTCACAGGTAAATCCTAAGTATTTGTAGTATTTCCTTGGGTTATTATTATTGCAAGGAATAACTTTTTAATAATTAGTCATTTCTGTTTTTAGTGCTTCATGTTCAAGTGACATTTCAGTCGACCTAACCGATGCCTTTCGAAGTATGATACTGAACAAGCGTTTCGTGTTGTGGGATGATTTTGAAAGCGCCTTAAAAGAGTTCCAAAAAGTATGGAATTATAATTTTATCGCTTCTCAGACTACTTATACTCGTTACATCCACACAGAAAGCAGATTGCTGAAGGATGTCAGGTTCAAATACCTGTTTGTATCATTTAATTGTACGTTTGGTCATAAGAGGAAATCGGAAGGTTTGAAAGTGAGGCAAAAATCGTAAGATCTTTAACTAATATCTTATGTTTAAGGTCTAAATTCCGTAATTGTCGATCTAAATTTCGTGTAAGACTAGAGGAGCAAGGATATGTCATCAAATCCTACAACATGCTCCACAATCATCCATGTAGTAGTTCATGGATGGTATGTGATCCATTGACAAGGAGATTATCGTCAGAAGAAAAAGAGAACTTGAAGCCCGTAATACTTCACTGTGAGTCAGCAGATGAAGTTATCGAAAGCATTAAGGAGAGAACTGGTAAGCAAGCAACTGCTGCCGATGTCAAAGGTATGAAAGCTACACTCTCCACTGGTAAGTGTATATAAATATATTTCAGGTTGTTTTACTCGGAACCAGGTAATGGATATGCTTAGACAGAAAGGCGGAGTGAAGGAACATTTAGAAAATGGATATGCCACTAGAATATGATGTGTCAATATCCCTGCCGTCACATGCTACTTGCCTACGTTAAAAGACGAAATCTTACAGGTAAGCTATATCAATTATGAAATACTAACTGCATAGCTCATCAACTTCTTAGGTATTGTAGCAGATGGAAGTTACATAATACCCAGAACTTCCAAAATAATGCATTAACTGCATTACCACGACGGAGTGAAGTGTATATAAGTATTCAACGAAGCCAAATAATCCATAAGCATCGCATCATTGAGAAGTACGGTGAACGTTTCGCAACGGAAGTTGAGAAGAAAGTGGACAATTATTACTTAAGAATTCTTAATACCAACTTGTAAACTTGATTTTCTGCTTTAGCAGCAATGATTATTCAATAAACTGTCATAATTTTAATTTTCATCTTATTCCTACTTTCGTGGGAATAAATAGCAATGACGTTCATGTGTAACTGTTTGTAATAATTAAGAATGATTCAGAAACCCTACATCCACGTACAATTTTGCAGATTAGGCACCCACATATCATATTCACCTTCGTCGGATTACGTTTATAATTAAAACCGTATCAGTAGCTAAGATTTTAATTTCATGTGATTAGTTCCGCTCATGAATTAAAATGAAACCAGGATAAATGTTGATTAACAGTGGTATGCATTCCTTATAACTAAATATGCATTAGGATTTAAGGGTGATGTGCGAAACAGTTGACATACCTTAATAGGAATAATCGAAATGACGTGGGTTATTGTTGTAACGGGTGTGTGACTGCAGGGTTTGGATACACAGCGTTATTATCGATCGCTCCTGTGACAGTGGACACGTAAACATGTAAGGACGACCTAGTGCCCTGATTGGCCCTGCTTCGCTGTCTGTCCCTGCCAATTGAGTCAAGAACACAAATCACTGCCTCTGAGTTATGAATCATTATATTTCAAACATACTTTGTTTATATACCAATCAAGCATACCACATCGTACCATAAAATAGGGAACAACATTTACAAAATATTTAACAAGTGAAGTAAACATCATCCAATAGGAAATGTACATTTAAGGTCCAAGGACACCATTGGACTTAACATGATAATTATTGGTCTATTTTTCCGACTATCCTAACACCTCCCCTTTTTTCGAATGATCCGGAGTTCATATCTGCATTTTAAAATTTTCTGGGCTCATCCTCCCCCACGAAATAATGTTGGGTCCTCATATCCCCAAGTTAAAATCAATTTGACTTTATTCAACACATAATTGTCACATGGAACAGAGAAGTCACTAAAAGTGAATAAGTAGTGCGGACCAACGTCGCTTGATATGAGGTCATCAACGTTCGATTCTTCTGGAGCATTATCATAGAATTCCTTGAAAATCTCATTTGTGGATAGTCGATCACCGGGATAATTCACATCTATCAAAATTGTATTCGACTTCTGATCATCATTTGTGGCATCTAACACATTTTCTGGTACAAGAGGATCCAGATAATAACATTCATCAGAATCTCCTGTTGTTGACTGATGAGGACCGTTTGGAGCAGCTAGACTCAGTATACTGCACGATTTGTTTCCTGTTTCCTTGTGAGAGGGAACTGTAATTAATTTATGAGCATTTGATGAGAGATCTTCCTGTGAGCTGGGTACATCGCTGTCTGTACACGTTTCAGGAACAGTGGGATTTGAACCCACAACAGGGCATGATTCTGAACTGGACATTCCCGGATCGCTGGACGGGTTATGAGCGACTGCCTCATTTGCATTACTGATCATAAGGGATTCATAGAGGCTTTTGTTTTCATCTTCATATGTCCTGCAGTCATTCTCGAGTTCAGAATGTAAGTGAGAAATGAATTCATCAATTTCTTTCACATCTCCGAAACATGGGAGATCTAGCAGTCGCGTGCGTAAATAGCCCAAAACATTCAACTGGCCTTTTCTGAAACGCTGCTGCAACTGATCGGGAAGGAGAGTCATTTTCTGAGTCAGCAGGGTAATGAGAAATACTGTAATCAACTAACAACCAATGACTCCCAAGGACGCCAATGACAAATCTGGATACTGATTGGTCAAAATAGATAGGCTGAATCTTGTCCAATTACAGGGTTCAAAATTTTCTCTACCCCGTCGCCAATTGTTGTAACGGGTGTGTGACTGCAGGGTTTGGATACGCAGCGTTATTATCGATCGCTCCTGTGACAGTGGACACGTAAACATGTAAGGACGACCTAGTGCCCTGATTGGCCCTGCTTCGCTGTCTGTCCCTGCCAATTGAGTCAAGAACACAAATCACTGCCTCTGAGTTATGAATCATTATATTTCAAACATACTTTGTTTATATACCAATCAAGCATACCACATCGTACCATAAAATAGGGAACAACATTTACAAAATATTTAACAAGTGAAGTAAACATCATCCAATAGGAAATGTACATTTAAGGTCCAAGGACACCATTGGACTTAACATGATAATTATTGGTCTATTTTTCCGACTATCCTAACACCTCCCCTTTTTTCGAATGATCCGGAGTTCATATCTGCATTTTAAAATTTTCTGGGCTCATCCTCCCCCACGAAATAATGTTGGGTCCTCATATCCCCAAGTTAAAATCAATTTGACTTTATTCAACACATAATTGTCACATGGAACAGAGAAGTCACTAAAAGTGAATAAGTAGTGCGGACCAACGTCGCTTGATATGAGGTCATCAACGTTCGATTCTTCTGGAGCATTATCATAGAATTCCTTGAAAATCTCATTTGTGGATAGTCGATCACCGGGATAATTCACATCTATCAAAATTGTATTCGACTTCTGATCATCATTTGTGGCATCTAACACATTTTCTGGTACAAGAGGATCCAGATAATAACATTCATCAGAATCTCCTGTTGTTGACTGATGAGGACCGTTTGGAGCAGCTAGACTCAGTATACTGCACGATTTGTTTCCTGTTTCCTTGTGAGAGGGAACTGTAATTAATTTATGAGCATTTAATGAGAGATCTTCCTGTGAGCTGGGTACATCGCTGTCTGTACACGTTTCAGGAACAGTGGGATTTGAACCCACAACAGGGCATGATTCTGAACTGGACATTCCCGGATCGCTGGACGGGTTATGAGCGACTGCCTCATTTGCATTACTGATCATAAGGGATTCATAGAGGCTTTTGTTTTCATCTTCATATGTCCTGCAGTCATTCTCGAGTTCAGAATGTAAGTGAGAAATGAATTCATCAATTTCTTTCACATCTCCGAAACATGGGAGATCTAGCAGTCGCGTGCGTAAATAGCCCAAAACATTCAACTGGCCTTTTCTGAAACGCTGCTGCAACTGATCGGGAAGGAGAGTCATTTTCTGAGTCAGCAGGGTAATGAGAAATACTGTAATCAACTAACAACCAATGACTCCCAAGGACGCCAATGACAAATCTGGATACTGATTGGTCAAAATAGATAGGCTGAATCTTGTCCAATTACAGGGTTCAAAATTTTCTCTACCCCGTCGCCAATTGTTGTAACGGGTGTGTGACTGCAGGGTTTGGATACGCAGCGTTATTATCGATCGCTCCTGTGACAGTGGACACGTAAACATGTAAGGACGACCTAGTGCCCTGATTGGCCCTGCTTCGCTGTCTGTCCCTGCCAATTGAGTCAAGAACACAAATCACTGCCTCTGAGTTATGAATCATTATATTTCAAACATACTTTGTTTATATACCAATCAAGCATACCACATCGTACCATAAAATAGGGAACAACATTTACAAAATATTTAACAAGTGAAGTAAACATCGTCCAATAGGAAATGTACATTTAAGGTCCAAGGACACCATTGGACTTAACATGATAATTATTGGTCTATTTTTCCGACTATCCTAACACCTCCCCTTTTTTCGAATGATCCGGAGTTCATATCTGCATTTTAAAATTTTCTGGGCTCATCCTCCCCCACGAAATAATGTTGGGTCCTCATATCCCCAAGTTAAAATCAATTTGACTTTATTCAACACATAATTGTCACATGGAACAGAGAAGTCACTAAAAGTGAATAAGTAGTGCGGACCAACGTCGCTTGATATGAGGTCATCAACGTTCGATTCTTCTGGAGCATTATCATAGAATTCCTTGAAAATCTCATTTGTGGATAGTCGATCACCGGGATAATTCACATCTATCAAAATTGTATTCGACTTCTGATCATCATTTGTGGCATCTAACACATTTTCTGGTACAAGAGGATCCAGATAATAACATTCATCAGAATCTCCTGTTGTTGACTGATGAGGACCGTTTGGAGCAGCTAGACTCAGTATACTGCACGATTTGTTTCCTGTTTCCTTGTGAGAGGGCACTGTAATTAATTTATGAGCATTTAATGAGAGATCTTCCTGTGAGCTGGGTACATCGCTGTCTGTACACGTTTCAGGAACAGTGGGATTTGAACCCACAACAGGGCATGATTCTGAACTGGACATTCCCGGATCGCTGGACGGGTTATGAGCGACTGCCTCATTTGCATTACTGATCATAAGGGATTCATAGAGGCTTTTGTTTTCATCTTCATATGTCCTGCAGTCATTCTCGAGTTCAGAATGTAAGTGAGAAATGAATTCATCAATTTCTTTCACATCTCCGAAACATGGGAGATCTAGCAGTCGCGTGCGTAAATAGCCCAAAACATTCAACTGGCTTTTTCTGAAACGCTGCTGCAACTGATCGGGAAGGAGAGTCATGTTCTGAGTCAGCAGGGTAATGAGAAATACTGTAATCAACTAACAACCAATGACTCCCAAGGACGCCAATGACAAATCTGGATACTGATTGGTCAAAATAGATAGGCTGAATCTTGTCCAATTACAGGGTTCAAAATTTTCTCTACCCCGTCGCCAATTGTTGTA